CATGTTGAAATTCACTAAAATTAAATTGGAATTGTTGACGGATATTGATCAAGTTCATTTCATTAAAAAAGGTATCCGTGGGGGCATTTCCCAATGCTCCCTACGTCATGCTAAAGCAAATAATAAATATATGGAAAATTATGATGCTAATTCGCCCTCTAAATTTCTAATGTATTGAGACGCTAACAATTTGTATGGGTGGGCAATGTCTCAATATTTACCCGTTTCCGACTTTAAATGGTTGACTGAAAACGAAATTCAAAATTTAGATTTTAATAATATACCCGATGATTCCGATTTCGGATATATTCTAGACGTGGATATTGCGTATCCCGAACACTTGTACAACCTACATAATGATCTACCTTTCTTAGCCGAAAATTTAATCCTCCCTAACTGTAAATGCGATAGCGATAAACGATTAATTCCAAATTTATTTGATAAGAAAAATTATGTAATTCATTACAGAAATTTAAAACAAGCCGTTGAGCACGGATTAATTATAAGTAAAGTTAATGGAGTTTTATCGTTTAAACAATCCCCTTAGTTAAAGTCATATATCGATAAAAATACAGAGTTACGCCAATCGGCTAAAAATGATTTAGAAAAGGATTTTTTTAAATTAATGAACAACGCAGTTTTCGGTAAAACCATGAAAAATGTTGATAAGCGAGTTGACGTCCGCTTAGTAACCAGTTGGGATGATATCAGGTCTGGCAAAACCGCAGGTAGACCTAGACTTGAAGCTCGGAGTTTAATCGCTGAATTAAATTTTAAAAGTGTTAAAGTATTCACAGAAACGTTTTCGGCAATTCAAATGGAGCGTCTTCATGTAGCCTACGATAAGCCTCTATACGTTGGTTTTACAGTTTTAGAACTGTCAAAATTATTAATGTACGATTTTTATTATGATTTTTTAAAACCTAAATACGGCGAGGACGTTCAGTTGTGTTACATGGATACCGACAGTTTCACCGTACTAATTAAGTCTGACGATGTGTATAACGATGTTAAATTAAATTTAGATAAATTTGATACATCTAACTACAGTCCCGATAATCGGTTTGACATCCCCTTGCAAAATAAAGCGGTTTTAGGTAAGATGAAAGATGAAAATTGCGGAAACGTAATGGTTGAATTTATTGGCTTAAGATCGAAGGTGTACGCAAATCGGGTCGCTGATGGATGAGTTACTAAAAAATCTAAAGGTATTAGGAAAGCTGTGGTTAAACAAAAGCTTTCGTTTCAAAATTATTTCGACTGTTTACATTCAAATTCCATCGCGTCTAGAAAACAGATATTATTTAGAAGTTTTAAGCACACGGTTTTTACCGTTTTACAAAACAAATTGGCCCTTTCCCCACATGATTCAAAGCGATGTGTCAATGCCGAT